CTTTCTTTTTTTTTTGTTTTTTTTTTTTGAGTTGGAGTCTCACTCTGTCGCCCACACTGGAGTGCAGTGGCCGCTCCCGGCCACCGCAGCCTCGACCTGCTGGGCTCTGGCGATCCTTCCGCCTCAGCCTTCCGAGTAGCCGGAATTACAGGCGCGTGCTACCACGCCCGGCTAATTTTTTTTTTATTTTATTGTAGAGATGAGGTCTCGCCTGCCCAGGCGGGTCTCGAACCCGCGGGCTCAGGCAATCCACTCACCTCAGCCTCCCAAAGGCGCGGGATTACAGGCTGAGCCACCGAGCCCGGCTCCTCAAGTACTTTCATTCCTTGAAAAATCTCTTCTCCGCTGGCATCTTGGCCTGTTACCTACAAAATAAAGGTCAATGCTTTGGTCTGACCTTGCTTAGCTGTCCAAGTCACTGTTAACCGTTTAGCAGCTCAAGTTGGAGAACAGCTCTACACACATTGTCCCCTGGGCGGGCGCCAAGGGATAAGGTGAGCAGCCCAAAAAGTTAGGAAAAACTTAACTCAGTTTGTACTGGGGACTGACAGCACAGACATGGAAAATACGGATCTGGGTGAATCCAGGCTGGACAGCATCACCAGGTGCCAGTTGGCGCCTCTGCTGTGTGCCTCAGCCACTCATCGTGCTGCTGTGGTTCTGCAGAGAACACAGAGAACCCAGAGTCCTTCTGGGGCCCACGAGGGAATTAGAGCATCGGCAAAGGTCTGCCAACAGGTGGGTGGAGGTGCCAGGTGAGCCCTGGGCCCAGAGCGGCCTTCCAGGATGCCTGCTCTTACACCGTGCACACGGGTCTTGCCCGCTCCCCAGTGTGCATCTTCCATGCCAACACTGGCTCCTCCAAGCCATTCACCCCACATATTTGTTTCCACTCACTCCCCTGCTGGGGTCTTTCTTGGGAGCGATCCATGGTCCGTGTCAACTAGCCACCGCCTAGTCTGCCCTCTGGTTCTGGGGCAGCCAAGAGAAGTCAAGAAACATCTAGTTCTTGGGGGAATAATAACAGTCGTTCAACATGGAGCCAAATCCCACCTTATGATTTTACCTTCTTGACTTTCAGA